TTTTTAATTGATTTCACATTATCGTGCAGTTCATCTTAGATGGTATTTGGTTACACGGCAAGCTGTGATTGCAAAGTCCTCTCTCCTATTAGCTATAAACTCTTTAAAATCTTACTCTCCTGGGCCGGACAATATTTCTAGTCGTCTACTCAAGGAGTGTAGTTCTTCCCTTCTTTTGCCATTGCTAAAGCTTTTTAATCTATCCCTTGAAACTTCTGTCTTTCCATCTCTTTGGAAAGAATCTTATATCATTCCTCTTCACAAGAAGGGTGGGAAGTCTGATATACAAAATTACAGGGGCATTGCAAAACTGTCTGCTATTCCTAAATTATTTGAAAAAATAATCACTTCGAATTTGCAGCATTTCTGCAAATCAGTTGTTTCCCCTGTTCAACATGGATTCGTAAAGAATCGGTCAACTACGACCAATCTGCTTGAGTTTACTTCCTTGGTAAATGATGCTTTCCTTTCGAAAATGCAAACTGATGTCATTTACACTGACTTCAGTAAGGCGTTTGACTCTGTGCACCATGACATTTTACTTTTTAAACTTGACCGAATAGGTTTCCCTCTGTCCCTTTTACTTTGGATTAATTCTTATTTAAAAGGTAGCACCCAAAGAGTAATACTGAGGTTGACTACCTCTAGAAGGGTTCACGTTACTTCTGGTGTTCCTCAAGGTAGTCATCTTGGACCTTTACTCTTTACTCTTTTTATAAATGATCTTCCCTCTGTTATATCACATGCCCGTGTACTCATGTATGCGGACGATGTCAAACTTTTTCTATCGTACAATTATCCCCTACATCATTCTCGTCTACACGACGATTTGAACGCTATGCTACTTTGGTGTTCGGCCAATCAATTGCATCTAAATTGTTCAAAGTGTATGTTTATGACTTTTAATCGTACTACACCTTATCTTGTCAGTTATACAATCGACAATATCCCTTTGCAACGAATACTAGCAGTTAAGGATCTAGGCGTTATTTTTGATTCTAAACTCTGTTTCCATCTTCACATAGATACCATTGTTAATGAGGCAAAAGGTGTACTTGGATTCATTAAACGATGGTCTAAAGAGTTTAACGATCCTTTTATAACAAAACTTCTGTACATCTCTCTTGTTCACCCTATCCTTGAATACTGCTCTTGCACCTGGTCTCTACAGTATAAGAACAGCCAGGATCGTATTGAATCTGTTCAGAAGCAATTTCTGCTTTTTGCCTTACGAGGTTTAAATTGGGACCCTAATCTTCGGTTGGCGTCCTACTCCAGCAGACTGCTTCTTCTCAACCTTCCGTCGTTAATCAACCGTAGAACAATTCTCGGTGTTGTCCTTCTACATAAGTTGATTATTGGCGACATTGATTCTCCTTTTCTGCTAGGGCGTCTTCAATTCTCTGTTCCGGCTAGACCAACCAGAAATTATCGCCCCTTATTACTATCTACGTGCACAACTGATTACGCTATGCACAATTCTTTTCGCGTGCTATGTAAAAATTATAATAGTTTGCATCACGTTTTCTCTACCGAACTGTCTCTACCCCTAATAAAATCGTTGCTTTCAGGGAAGTCGCTGACCATTCCCAGCTATGAGCAGGGGCATAGCTTGCCGGACAGGCTGAAAAATTTTCCCCCACCGGGTCGGTGATTTCCCATTACTTTTCTCTTTGTCCTATCTACTTAACACTCTTTATCTAACTTACACTGCTTTACTTTATTAACTATCTTTTTACATTCTTTTTTCCTATTTATAGTATTTTCTTTTAATAATATAGCAAATTAAGATTATTTTTAATTTTACTTGAGATCACTTTTTTCCTACTTACAACCTTCTGCTTAGATGTAGGCTCTAATAGCGTCACTGACAAAATTAGCTGTGAAAAGGGGCACAGCTGGCCGGACTGGCAAATAAAACACCTCCATCGGTCGGTGATGCTATTTAGAAAATTGTATCCTTTAACTAGGCTTTTAGCATATAATTCTATTGTACAATCTTTTGAATAATGAGGAAGACACTCGTTTTGTCGACCATTAATAAATAAAATAAATAAATAAAAAAAATAAATTTAGCCGATGATGACATAAGCGGAAACGATATTATGGAAAAACTAGACATAATTGCTTTACCGAATAATTTCTCACAGAGATATTTGAACAAGAGTTTGATATTGATAAAAAAAAAACAAAAAAGTTGTACGTTTCTTATAATATATTCCAAGAAGATTGAAATTTGAAAAACACATATCAGCCGAATTTTCATAAATATATTTGAATATTATGTGGAATCCTGTGGAATCACCAATCAATCAGTTAGTCAGGACAAACAGTTTTATATATAGAGATATAACAGTAATAGTAAACTTGCACAAAGTTACATTAATAAAGCACAATAATCACATTCCATCACTTGATGTCGCGACACAATATAATTCCATATGTATGATGATAGTTAAATTATTAAAATGAAGGGAGCTTGTTGACACACAGTCTATTGATAGAAACATTGACTGTTATCGGAAAACGAAGGATTATTTGGAACCACTTACTCATTTAACCTTAATGTACCAACAACAAATGTTGGCTAAACCATTTTCAAAAATCAATAAACGGCATTACTTGCTGACGAGTCTACTTAACAACCACACCAGCCAACAAAAAAAGTATAAATAGTTTCCCTGGTAGGGGTCTAACTCGCGACAGACCGCAATACTTGCTATGCCTCTACTCAACAGCCCCACCAATAATTGATTATTATTGAGAAAAAAAACGAATAAAAATAGCAGCCGCTAAACAATCGCAATTGCAATGTTGTTGATAAAATTCGAAGCAGGCGCACATGAATGTGTGTGTGTACATATATACGGAAATGCTTGGAATTCGCGCTGTCTATCTGTCTATATGCGCAGTATAACACATAACTTGTGGGTTATTCTTTCCGACCTTAATGAAATTTCCTACACTATATATTATTGTACCATATAATATTTGTGTATTCTTAAAAAGTCAATTGCATTAAAATTGTTGCTTATAGAAAACTTGATTTATAGCTATAAGGTGGTAGCAGGGAGGTGGCGATAGGTATTAATTGATAGATAATTGATATATGTATACTATTCTATGCGTTCTATACGTTATCGGCAGCACCGAGGGTTTACTTAGTTGGTCAGAGCAAAGACAATATAAACACTAAGATGAGTAACGCCATACAACAAAATTGAGAATGAAAACGAAATCTGTAGCATTGCGCTCTCACAGCCGAGAGAACGAAAAAGCTAAAATTAGAATTTGCTCTCAGCTTCGGCTCTATGAGGGCCGTGCAAGCAATTATGTTTGTATACGTGTGAATATACATACATAACAGCATATTTGAATATGTTGTTATCCACTGCTCTGGCAAAGTCTCTGGCTGGCAAAGAAACAATTTTCTTAGTTTTTTAGCGCAGATCACGAACTACTCAAAATTTCTGTTGATATATGAATGCATTTTGTGTACTGGGGTTGGCTCCATACAAAAAAATTTGAATTTTTAAGTCGATGCAAATATTTATGTAATTTTTTATATTTGAAATTATTAAAGCAATAATTATTATTTTTAAGTAATACAAAATTAATTAAGGACATAAAAGTGCAAATTTGTTGTTTTCAAAGATACATTTAATTAATTTTTATTTTTTTTTTATTTTATTATTTTTTGTTCGAATTATAAAGAACAAAGTACGCAGGGAACACCGCGAGGAGGCCATTATAATTAAAATGGGGTCATAACTAAATATGACCTTCGAGGTGACTTGAAATGTAATTGTATTTTTTAGCACTTTTTTATTTCTTAATTGGAAAATAAAAATAATATTCATTTAATTTAAAGAAATTATGTAAATATTTGCATCGACTTAGAAATACATATTTTTTGCGGAGCCAACCTCAGTACACAAAATGCATTCATATATCAACATATATTTGGGAGAGGTCATGATCTGCGTAAGAAAACTAACAAAATTAATTTCTTGCCAGCTAAAGCCAGAGCAGTGAATAACAACACATACAAACATACTTTAAAGTTCTTATGCATGTATAATTCACGCATACAAGGTGCACGCACGCTATTGGCTGAGACAAGATCTTTTTTCGAGCATACACTGTCCAAAAAGAAAAGTGAAATCAATCTATGTGTGCTATTTGCTTAACATAGTTATTACGCAAGAAGCGCCTTTTCCTGTAAAATTAATCGTTTATATCTAGGGTAATATATCATTTAAATAAAGCATGCATTTCATGGATAGAGCACAAGCACTTTGCGTCGATCTTAAGTTCTAAACTTTTTCGCTCAATGTACTTCGAAAACGAAGCGACGCAAAGCAGCATCGACCAGCTTTGCTGAAGGCAGGCTGGCGACTTACTTCGTAGCTGGTGTCAGCATCAGCAAGCCGCGACTTCGGCATTCGTTCGTCTGGAGAACGAACAACCAGTCGGCTGGCATACCGTACGAAGCCACAAAGGCCAGATGAAAAGCCAGGCTAGAAATTTTGCGTCGCATTCAAATGTATGGACGCTACTCATCTTAGTGTTTATATTGTCTTTGGTCAGAGTATGCGGGGCGAAGCTAGGCCCACGGCGGAGCCAAATTTTTGAAGGGTGGCAACGCCAGACTTGCGATCCACAGCGCCAAAAGCGACGATTGCTATTGGCCGCCCAGTTCGCTCTTAAAGAGAATATGAGGAGAGTGGGTCGCATGCCCTTGGATATGCCCTTGGCCGTCATTTGGGCCATTGACCCAAAAAAATGCAGCTGTGCAGATGGGCAGCAACGGTGCCTGCCTCGCCAATGTATGCGTGTGCCGAAATTCGGCGCCGATGATGTTCCTGCCCAAATGTACGAAGAGTTCGACTTTGTCAGCGGGCCACAGCGTACGTACCGGCTCACAGTTAAGAATTTTTGGAAGTTTTTTTGCCGGCCACGGAGCATGTGCTTAACCAAAAAGAAAAAATCAAAGGGCATACATTTGTTCATGACGGGTTTTCTTTATTATTTAATTGCGAAGATAATTCCTTATGTGCTAACGTATTGCAAAAGAAATAGTGCCCAAGAGCGACAATACGCGAAACAATAATACACCCGAAACACACTGTCGTCATTGAAACCTACTATAAAAACCATACTCTATTAGAGCAGCCGCAGCCATTCTGTGGCACACCACGTTTGAATCCCGCGCCGGAGGACGCTGGCCAGATCAACCCCGATATTCAAGGGCTGAATTTTCAAAGCGCGGACAAGTGTCGGCGTAATCCACACGACGGAGAGACGAGCCATCACGGACGGGACTCACACGACGAAGAGGCAGCCACGGGCGAGACCACGCCCATGTCATCCGAGTGAGTCTGTTCCATTTCGTGCCTCCTCGCCTGAGTAAAGGGCAGAGTCAGACGCAGACTTGCCATTGTGCTCCCTGAAAGAGAACCGATTTTTTGCAATTTTTTACTCCAGTTTTTTTTGCTATTAAATACAAAGAAAAAAATACTCACGACTAGTTTAAATTAAGTAAATTTAAAAGTGCGAACCGGAAAGGAAAGGGCCCAAAGATTATTGCGTCTGCCAAGTAAAGAATACAATTGAAAAGTCTAGATTTTGGTCAACTTATGCACGAGTGATACCACTTATGCGTATATATATATAGGCATAAGTGGTATCACTATATATATATATATATATATATATATATATATATAAAGAGCTCTCTCTCTTACCTTACCTGCCTAAAGAGCTATATATATATATATATATATGCACCTCAAGTGCATGTGCCCCCCACCCAAAGAGCTCTTTAGGCAGGCAAGGTAATAAGCGCTTTGAAAATTGAAAATCAACACCTTTCGTTGGAAACACATATGTATACACGCATTTATTTTAGCGGGTACTTGCTCCCCATTGGTGCAATAAGTACCTGTGTTTATATTTCTCCCCCTGTTTTCCTCCTTTGTTGACTGGCAATAACTTCTGGCCTTTTCTTTTGGTCGCCGGTATCATACGAAGGTCGCCAACAGAAAAATATATTCTGTACAAAAAAAAAGAAAATTTAATATATTTAAGATAAACAGAAATTGTTACAAATATGAAATGATGGAACGCGTTATAGATAACCGTTGAGGCGAAGTTGAAAAAAGGAAAGAAATTGAAACTTAAAACATATATCCATTATTTTAAATATAAAAATATACAACTTATCGTATGCACCTGGTTTAAAATGCCGGAAATGTTCGTGAGTCCGAAAGTATAAATAATGGCTTGAAGATAACCTGCCTGGGAATAAGAAATAAGATTAAATGTTAATAACGATAAGAAATGCAATCAATTATTTACCGAATCTGAAGAGAGAAATGTCCGGCTAAATTTGCTTTGATGGGGAGAGTTGGCATAACAGCCGGCACAGGCTGATGGCCATCTAATGGCAGAACGTGGGAGACGAGTAGGTGATCGTCTCATGTTTGGGCGGGTACGCTGGGTCCGGAACCGGGGCCCGATCTGGAAGAGTAAGGTGGATAAATAGTGTTTTTTTGTTAATTTATATTGAGTGTCTCACCTTTGTTGTTTACATGTTCATAGTTGTTACAGCTGTTTATTTTGTTCATGAGGTAGAAGTTCCGATTGTTTGACGTTATCGAGTGGTGGTTCGCTTTGCATAGTGTTGTGTAAGTCTGTTTTGCTACAGACGTGTAGCTTCGTTGTTATCGATTGTGCGGACTGCGGGCCAGTGATGGGACTACACCCAGAGAAACCGATGACCGTAACATTATATACCCAATTTGCTCAAAAACCAGGATTTCGATCGGACCTACAAGTCTCAAGCTCTTATAGTTTCTAAGATCCTTGCGTTCATACATACGGACAGACGGACAGATTGACGGACATGGCTAGATCGACTCGGCTGTTGATGCTGATAAAGAATATATATACTTTATGGGATCGAAGATGCGTCCTTCTGCCTATAACATACATTTGCACAAATACAATATGCCCTTTTTACCCATTTTCAATGGTTTCAGAGTATGAAAAGGTCACGCCCAATCGGTATCCAAACCGAAGTGCACGCACTACTTCTTAAAAAAAACGAATTAAAATAGCAACACGCCGAAAACAATGAAATCGCAATTGCAAAGCAGTTGAAGAAATAAAGATTCGCATGAGTTTGTGTATATATGTATACTAAAAACCTTATGTTTGCACATACGAATGGACGGACAGATAGACTAACATGGCTAGATCGATTCAGCATCAATAATGCTGTCAAGAATATATTTATTTATGGGGTCTCGGATCCTTTTTTCTTTCTTTTACATACATTTGTACAATACTCTTTTACTCATTTTGAATGGTTTCAGTAGCATGCAATTTTTAGGTTGTTCAGGAGCACTTTTTCTTTTGCGCAGGAAGGGTGTCTTAAAATAATAAGAAGTCAATAGTGCAACAAGCAGGTCAAAATCCAAGTGAAGCAATCTCTACGAAATTACCGCCGTTTGCAATGCCAAATTTCAAAAGCGGAGAAGACTGTACAGTGTAAGACTACTTCCAACGATTCGAAAGGCCACTGCAACTGAGTAAAATTCATGATGCTGACCACCACCACTATGCAAGGGTGCATATGGAACTGAACTACAAATTCTGATAAGTCCAAGGCAACCAGAGACACTACAATTCAGCGAGTTTTAGGAAGTGCTAATTAATCACTTCGATGACAAACGAAACGTTTACGCAGAGAGCTTCAAATTCCGCCAACTACGCCAGGAACCAGAGGAGTCACTAGCAGCGTTTGTTCGCTTAAAACAGGCAGCATCATTTTGCAGGTACGACTCGTTTTTAGACAGAATGCTAACAGAACAAATGCTTTTCGGCATGCAAAAGGTAATCGCAAGAAAACCAACAACATTTTCAGACGCTTACGAGGCTGCATATTCCAGGGAATTGTTACTACGATCAACAAACACAATTAATGACAATCAACCTACAGATACAGAGCCTACATGCAAACTGGGCTTCTTGTGAATCAGGACGAAGCGGAGTGAAACAAAGAAGCAAATGCTACGGATGTGGAATGCAACACTTGCGCAAAGATTGCAAATTCAAAAACGAGAAGTGGTACGTGTTTGGTAAAGTAGGGCATATAAGTAAGTCAACAAATTCAGACGCCCCGGAAGAAAAACATACATACATACATACATTATTCAACAATCGAATACCAACGCCATCAAGTCAGTAGCAAAAAAATCATAACACTGAAGATTGATGGAGTAAAAATACCAATTGAGCTGGACACGGGTGCTCCGTGCAGCATAATGAATGACAAGACCCTTCTGAAAATTAAACCTTTAATACGATTGAAGAAAACTGACCGCAAATTTTGGAGCTATACAGGTACCAGGATCAACTGCTGTGGACGGGCAGTTGTTAACGTGACCTATGAAAAAACTACACGTAAACTAAATCTGTATGTAGTGGAAGGAAACCTGGGCACACTGTGTAGGAGAGAATGGATCTTCAATTTGCAAAAGAAATTGATTTTACTGGGTCTTTACAAACAATTCTGTCAACGCCAACGACATAGATCTGGAAATGTTCTCGATGAAAGGAAGCGTGGTGAAAACAATAGCAATACAAGCGGCGGAATACGAATAAGAGGGCACAACTAGAGAAAAACTAACAAGATTTGAATCGATATTTGGCTCTGCAGCAAGAGCCTTCAAAGGACCAGCTATTGAGGTGCATCTAAAACCGTACACGAAACCAATTTATGCTCGCGCAAGAGATGTACCATTCGCGCTGCGTGATGCTTATGCATCAATAACAAGGCATCAACAACGCATGTGGTAACGAAAAAAACGGGAGTTACTTATTACTGGCAACTACAAGCCGACTGTATATGCTCAAATGATCATTGATGAACATTCGATTCCAAGGACAGAGGATATATTCAACCAAATGAAAGGATGCACGGTGTTCGCACACTTGGATGTGACTGATTCATAATCACATTTGCACAATGATGACGAATTCGCGAACATACTGGCATGGAACACGGCAACACACGGACAAACTCGTGCAGTGTACGGAGCAGCGAACATACCAGCAATTTGGTAGAGAACAATGGAGACCACATTCAAAAAAATCTTCCTAACGTATTTCTTCGACGATGTGCTAATGAGTTGAAGAAGAAGAAGAACCTTAGAAGCGATATTAGAAAAATTACAGAGCCTGGGATTTAAATTGAACAAATCTATGTGCGTTCGCCGCATTTTCGGTTGAGTTTCTGCGAAACAAGATTGAAGCAGAAAGCATACATAAATCAACTAAGCACATTGAGACCATCTTAAAAGCACTGAAACTATCTACAATCGAACACGTACTGTTTCTTGAGAAAGCAGCTTACTGCTCAAAGTTCATACTCAAAGGACGACAATTTCTCTGATCAGACGAGATGGAATTGGCTTACAACAGAATCAAACAAATTCTAGTTTTACGTCAGGTGCTGATGCCTTATGACCCAACACTTCCAATAGTGCTAGCAACGGTCGTCAGCAAAATAGATATAGGTGCTGTGCTATCCCATCGTTTGAAAAATGGTGGCGAACGCACAATTGCATACGCAAACCGTACAATGAGTCCCATAGACCAGCGATATACACAAATCGACATGGAAGCTCTAGCAATTGAATGGGCGGTACAACGATTTTTCAAATATTTACACGCCAGAAGTTAAACATTAGTTACCGATAACAAACCACTCGCGCAAATTTTAGGATGGCAAACTATGCAGATTTTTTAAGCAACTTCAATTTCACAGTTATTACCAAAACATAAAAGGAAAGTATAAATGCTGACTCTTTTTCTCGATTACCACTCAACACGAAGAATGATATCCATTCTAACACAGCAAATCGGGAAGAATTCGATAATTTTATAATACGACAAATAAATCAGCTTCCAGTTACAGCTTCGTTAGTTGCACGAGAAAACAGAAAAGACAGGCATTTGGACAAAATCTTGCAAATACTAGAGAGCGGCCAATGTCTTACAAAAAATGGATACAAATCACCAGAGTGCAAGCATGAGATATTATCTGGCTGCATTACTATCGAACATCGTGTGGTTATCCCGACTTAACTTCAAAAACTGATCCAGGACGAACTACACAGGGCCAACTTGGGTATAGTAAAAATGAAGGGTATTGCACGCTCTTTCGTCTACCAGCCAAGAATCGATAGGGATATGGAGAATGTGGCAAAAACATGCGAGCTCTGTGGAAAACATGCGAATCGACCTCCTAAATGCTCCGATCACTATTGGGAATACCCCAAGTCGTCTTGGGAGCGCACTCACATCGACTTTGCGGGACCATTCGAAGGTGCGATGCTTTTGATTGTTACGGATGCATACTCAAAGTTGTTGGACGTTAAGGTCACAAAGTCAATTACGGTAACAACAACAAGCGAATTACTAGATGATTTTTTTGCTATATATGGTGTCCCCCTCATGGTAGTGTCCGATAACGCGACAACTTTCATTTCGGCAAAATTCAAGCAATACCTCACATCTGTTGGCGTCAAATACCACAAGCAATCAGCGCCGTATCACTCCGAAACGAACGATCAAGCAGAAAAAAATAAAACGTGCGCTAAAGGCAATGGGAACGACACACAACACACTTAAGAGATACGTAAACGAATTCTTACAGCAACACAGAAACGCTCCGCATAGCACAACTGGCGAAAAGCCAGCGAAAATTTTCTTGGGTACGTATACGACTAGATTTTATCAGACCAGAAACCACCAAGGAAAAGGTATCAGCTAAACAATTTTTAAAATGCAAGCAATCGTTGCGTCAATTTGAGATTAAGTATGTAGTTTACTTCATTTCTCGAAACCCGATAATGGACAAGTGGATACGAGGAAAGATCGTTCATTATGAAATTCGACACAACAACAAATACCATAAAAGACATATCAACCAGATACGAGGGGAAGGAAGAAAGACAACAACAACATTACATAGAGGGAAGGAATCCAGAAAATACACCTTACTACACAGCAGTGAACATCAGCAAAACTATAAACTCACCACCTGCTTATAATATAACAGATCAGAGACCATAGCTAAATACACGAATTGAGAAATTACCAAATTTTAATAAAGATGAATTAGGAACACAGAAGCCGGCCATGCACGCGTACTTACACAGGTTTACATATGTATTCAAGCATTTATGCGCTTGTCTTTCCTTTCAATTGTTTGCTTATCCAATGCAATTTTGACAAGATTTGAAGTGATTACGTTTTTTAATTTCCAACTCGCTTGCCAGTATTTTCGACAGAAGGGAAAACGCTTGATGCGCTCACTCACCTACATTTAAATGATTGTATGCTCATAAAATATATTATACAATAAAATAAAATATTCAAATATTGAGTGCTTTAATAAAATGAATTATACAGAAACTAAAAGATTCAAAATAATGAATGCTTTAATAAAGTTAGTTCTGATAAAGAAAGGGTAAGAAAACTCTACCCGGCCATTCTGCAATCAAAATCCGATGTCGTAACAAGCAGTTTCTTGTATTGAAAGCGAGAAATATCAGCGAAAAATCATTACCCGCAAATTATATAGCTCTCTAACTTCTTCACTCGCTAAGCAAGTCAACGAATTACAGACACGAGCCGAAATGAAATCTCTATGAGACCACAAAATAGAAGTGGCTATTTAATTTTTTTTAGGCTGAATTGGTTCGTGCTCGAATATTGTCACTTAACCACAGCTTTTCTGGATCTTGTTCTATTAGAGATTCTAACTGAATCTTAAGATAACATTACAGTTATTGGGTCTCGTCGAATTCTTCTTTTGTTTTTTTGAATACAAGGTAATCAGTCTTTCGGAAACCGATAGTCTTGTCCGTTTTTAACAATATTCTCCGTATATTACAATGTAAATCCCTTTTTAATATTACAATTATAATTTATTTATTTTTTGACCCTGTCTAAAAATGAGTGTCGTCAGTGAATAACAGTTACATTTATGCATTAGATGAGATGATGCACAGCCAGTGTAGATGGGTTATGCGAATACCAAACTTGTACGTTTTGTAACAATTAATCGATAAGCTTAATCGCATTCTATTAACTTGTCGGTACGACATTGTTAAAATAAATTACGAAAGTTAATATATTTAGTTATTTTTTGTATGTACGTACAGTTTTTTATATGTGTCACTCATGCAAACTAAAATAACGATAATGCATTTGCCATCTTATGGTGATGAACATTTTTTGTAACAAGAATGGCCGACGCCCACGCCCAAAAAAATAATTTAATGTTCAATAATTGTACCTCTGGTAAACTTGATCGCATATAATTGTATCACTATATTTTACATATATTTATAATTACTTGCAGATGTTTTAAAAACGGAAAATTCCAATTTTGGCGAAATATCGAAAGCGCAATGTCACAAATAATTCCAATTACACCCACACCACAAATGCTGACGACATCAACAATAACACCAGTTGAAACTGCAAAACCACAACTCTCTTTTCCATCTGTAGTTGACGGTACTCACACAAATGAACTGGCTTCAGCACCAGATGTTATATTAAGAGCGTCAACTATATATGGCGAGTTTAAGCATAACTCTTCATTGGATCTCGAAAATGTACATAACACGATGGAGACTGAGAACAATTTAATATCAGACACTCTAGAACTTGGCGGTGACTCTAAAATTCGAATAATGCCAACTATAAAGCTGTTGGCTTCTCCTCATGCAGCAGATCCAAAACGAAAATTCGTATGTCCGTACGATAACTGCACAAAAAGCTATGGAAAAAGTTCCCACCTTCGCTCCCATCTCACGTGGCATACAGGCATTAAACCCTTTGTCTGCACTGAGCCAAAGTGCGGGAAGGGATTCACCCGTTCTGACGAACTTAATCGTCATCTACGCACCCATACGGGAGAAAAACCGTTTGAATGCAGCCAGTGCAGTAAAAAGTTTTCTCGAAGCGATCATCTAACTAAGCATTTGGCAACCCACGATAGGCAGTCAAAGAGTAATAACCTAAAACGTTCAATGCCTAATACAAGACTAAAAGCAACGAAAAAAAATGCATCAGACGCAGACTCGGGCTATCATTTTATGGCTGTACTTGGAGGGGGTGAATCAAGTACAAATCAAAATCAACAAACACAGCCCGCAACAATATCTGCATTTGAGCACACTCCACTAAGAATTAAATTAGAGCGGTCAGAACATAGTGACAAATATCAAATATCCCCCTTACCTGAAAACCAATTGACAGCAGGCCTTAGCGACAAGTCCGAGGTTAAATATGAGCCTGCAGACGAAATTGTACGCACACTTTCGCAATTACCGTCACAGGATGGTCCCACTACCTACGGTATGCCCCATTTTGTACAAGATAGACCCTTTCGTTGTCGTCAATGTGAGAAAAGATTTAAACGCCAAGATGATCTAAACCGTCATAATCGCACGCACACGGGTGAGAAACCTTACGCATGTACTCAATGTTGTCGACGATTTGTTCGCAGTGATCACCTGAAAAAACATCAACAGACTCATCTTAAATCGCGATAGCTTCTTAGATAACAATTTATTTTAAAGGCAGTAGCATCCGAAGAAAATTTAGTTGAATCAGGCCAGTGTTTGGGAGCAAAAAAATATAATAAAATGAATTCACAAACTAACTATAATCTACGATTTTTCTTTCTATCAATTGACATCACGAAATTCCGAAGATTTCTAGCGATGCATACAAAGTGCGGCTTAAAAGAGTTTCTGAATATACAAATAATTTCCAGAATAAAATTTTGTCTATAACTGGAATGGCTATCTAAAGAAGGATGCATATTGGAATACTGGAGCGCCTGAACAAAGATTTTTTTAACTCCATTAAAAATTTCATTTTAAAAATTAATTGATCAACTTTCAGGAGAAACCAAATTAGCTTTTAGGTAAAATACAGTATACATTTTTTTTCACAAGTTGAATTATATTGCAAGGACGAACCCGCCATTCCGCGTTTTTACAAACTGAAAAAGTTTCATAAGTTGTAAATTAGGGTTCGGTCGAAAAAAACATATTTTTCATTTTTGAAAATATTTTCTGTTTACGTATCATTCATACAAACACGCATTTCAATTCCCACGCTAAGATGAAGGCCGTCTTCAGGTTTCATCACAATATCGGGAACAATCCCTAAGGTAGATTGGTGACAAGCAAAAAGCGAAGTTGAAAATATTGCAGGCACTGCCAACTTTTTCTCTATGTCGCTAATGCATTGTAGATTTCCATTGCTATCATTGTTCATTGTTTTATAAAAAGTGAACTTACTGATATTTTTAGGAGCAGGATGATTAAGTAAGTGACAACGGTGTCAGTAAAACTTATATGAATACATTATTTTGTATACCCTTGCAGAGGGTATTATAATTTTGTCGTGAAATGTGTAACGCTTAGAGGGAGACATCTCCGACCCCATAAAGAATATATTTTATCATCAGAATCAACAACCGAGTCGATATAGCGATGTCCGCCTGTCTGTTTCTATGCGAACTGATCTCTCAGGTTTAAAGCTATCTTTATGAAACTTAGCAGAAATCCTTTTTTCTGTTTGTTAAGTATGAAAACAAAATATTTGTTTATCAAGAGATCTGAACCTAACTCGGCATTAATTAGTTTTACTATGTTCCTCACAATTATATACAAATTCCAATTAACATAAGATCACTTTATCATAGCTACCATAGGAACGATCAGTTAAAATTAAGTTGTATGGAAAGATTTGTTGTCATTCAAGATATTTTGATTAAACACGGCACTTAAAGATTTCACTATGCTCCCTTCATTTTTGCTAAATCTTATTTACATCTAACTACTATGTTAGATATCTGCGATCGGTCGAAAACTGATTAAACACCTTTTTTCTTTATCAGGATATCTTGATCAAACTCGGCATTAAAAATTGTCCCTGTGTTTCTAAGATACGGGCAAAGCAGTATGAGCATTATGAAAATGTTTGGTCTGCAACGGTATTAGATCTTCGGCGAGCCGAAGATAGCCTTTCATTCTCGTTATATTTATGTTTAAAAATTATAATATTTCTGCCCCTTGCGAGTAATGTTTAGCCCGGGTCGATTTGTTTATCTTATGTAATTATTTACTGTTTCGTTCAATTTATTAATTTATTCACGCACTCGAATGTTTATACATTCCTGCCTGTTTATTAATTAAATTAACTTTTGTTGATTGTATATAAGTCTATCAAAATCTTCAAAATCATAATACAAAGAGATGATCTTTGGAAAGGTTACTAGAATATAAAATATTAAAATAGAAATAGTTGAGAGTGCCCGACAGCTATAAAATTAAGGGTACTCGGTGGATATGTGCATATGGGGAGCAACATGGCAACGAGAAATCAAATTTGAGTGGCAGTTAAAGATGGCAAAAACGCCCATAAAAATTAGATTAAAAGAACTAAACTTCGAGAGATCGAGACACGCAAACATCTAAATATTTAAAATTTTTTTTTTTAAGACATCGTAAGTACCTACCACCGTTAAAGCGCTTCAAAAATCTTTGAAAATGAGTTTAAAACCAATCGGTATATAAAAAACATTTATGCAACATTTTTTCCTAACTATCCACTGTTGTGGGTCGAGTTTCCCAAATCATTAGTACCTATCTAGAGCCTTGAAATTAATTTTGATGCAAATCAAACAAAACTTAAAACTTTGCCCAACAAATCTTGGAAACGTACTTTTCACCGAGGAAACCTCGATTTCAAATGATTTTCCATATATATAACAGCATACACTTATCAGATGAAATTTGACAAAGATCTGTGAAAATGGATGGTGAGCAAAAAAAATGCATGCATCCATTTTTCGCTAATTACCCACTGCTGTGGCTACAAGTTTCCAAATCGCTGAAACAAGTTTTTATTAAATTCTTATGAAACGCTCACGTAGAACGCCGACCTACGGTCGGAAGCAGCTTGTGCATCAATTCCGGATCCCACACTCGGTCAAAAGCCTGCTTTATATCGAAGGAAGGCCATTTTTATATTTTTCTATCAACTTGAGTCCTTGAGCATAATAATCTAGCTTTACAATAACAGATTGAACATGCTTAACATTATATATTAAGTTTTAAATTATTTTTTGATTTATGTTTTCCTTATCTAAGTACCCGGTGTGGGAGGTCGATGTTAGCTCCTAAAGCTAAATTGATGACCTCGCATCAAGTCCCCGAATTTCAGCAGTGGATTTAATTTGACCAAAAATATTCTTTTGACAACTTTCGACAGTATTGCCAATAATCTGATGGGACGGTTGGAGGCAAACTCTTGTTCAGGCTTACCAGGCTCAGGTATTATTATAATTAGGGGAAGTGGTGGAGCCTAATGATGCCATTGTTGATGGACGTGAGGAAGGTAAGAGCACGTGGGAGAAGGAGACTGAAAATGGTCGCATCGATGCTGTCGTCGCCAGGGCTTTTAGTAGTCTTTAAACTAAACACTAAATTTTCGACTTCTTCTAAATTGATGGTGGGATCCAATATTTCCTCGATTTTTGCTTTAAACCTGTCAACATTTGAGCTCCTAGTTAGCGGCTTGGTGTTTCGCTGACTGATGTTTACAAGTAACTTAATTCGAAGCACAGCTGCACAGTGATCAGATAGTAGATAGCAGATAAAAGCCAATCTCCACTTGTACCTGATTTGAATTCACATCATGGGTAATCGCAAAGTCGAGAAGGTCGTGCACCTTCCGAATATCCATGGGAAAGTACACAGGCCGTCCTGGTGAAATGCTTTGGTTGGATGCAGAATAACAGGAACTTTGCTTTGGGTTGCATAGCCAGGAATCCCATCTGGTATGTTTTGAATTTAAACCCTATATAGAACGGATTAAATGGCTATTAAGACCTAAACGGAAAAGTAGCTCGTTGTTCATTGCAACAGCAAGGCTATTTGTTTGTCATTGAGCACCGTAAGGGTAGTGAGAACACGATAGCCGCTTCCTTATCACGCAGTGTCGAAACTGTAGGCAGAACGCTTGGAAGTTTGACAAGATTCGTGACCACCGAGTTCAAATCAACTGTATGTCAGGCGTTGCTAGAACATGTACGGCAGAATCGGGACACGCTACCAGATTCAAAGGTTGAGAGAAATGTGGTCTTCAAACGTATAGGATTTATTCGCCTGAAAGACGAATTAGAAGATACCGGGTGCCAAGCTCGTTGACAGCCGTCCTGATAGCGAAAGTTTATTTAGTTAAAACGGCTGCCCATGGCCATATTTACTGGCCCATAGACGTATACGGCATTGGGTACGAACTTTCGCATGCAAGTGTGTTTGAGGAATCTTCGTTGAAACCGCATTTTCTACCGAGGATGCTTTAATTTTCCGAAAAAAAAAAATGTGAAACACCTATCAGATGAATTTTGACAAAAACCTTTGAAAATGTTTTTGAAGATGCCAAAATTTCGTTGTGGTAAAGCTCTTTACGAGCTCGTTCTGGAATGGGACGAGAGTGGAGTGAAGTCGCAGTGAACTGCGTTTACAACATTTGTGTTTATCGCCGATTAAATCTCGTCAATAAGGGATTTGGTATCAGTAAAATTGATAGTGTGGCTAGTCTCTCACCCAAGGTTCCAAGGCGCAAACAATAGCTGGTAATCACGCTTGAAAGTTGCTTAATTCAATTTTCCCTATCTTTCAACATTCTGGAGATCATTGTTATCGGTCGCCCCAATGCCATAATTTGATGCATCAGTAGTCAAGTCAATAGGATTTTTATAGTCGGGGTACATTAAAAGGACATCTTCAGACGCTAAAATGTTGCTGAGCCTCTCGAACGCGTTGCGTTGAACCGCACTCCGTTGGTTTGAATATTTTTCGAAGTATGTTTACTTATGTTTACTTACTTACTTTTCTCTTTTAAGATGTCGCAGAGTGGCTCTGATATAGCCGCAAAGTCAATCATAAAACATTTGTACTAGCTGGCCAAGCCCAGAAATGGTCTGATGAAGTGTTTATGGGCGATTCAAAATATTTTAAAACAGGTTTGCACAGTTCTGCAGCACAGTACCTGAGAACACAAGCAGGAACACCATCAGGGTCCGGTGAGTAAACCGGCTTGATTGTGGTAAGGTCGCTGAGAAGTGAACTTTCCATATTATATAAATGGGATTTAAGATGCAAGAATAAGACTGATTTTTATTATACTTAGAAGAGGAGTAGCTACTTTAAAAAGAGTTTGCGAGCACATCGGCTATACCTGAATCAGTATTCGCGCTCTCATCTGCAAACTTAACCTAAGAAGGTTAAATACTTTTAGGAGTGACATAGTTAAAAAATTGCTTAGGATTATGTGAAAATTTAAGGCGACAACGATGAAGGTAATACTTATAACAGATGGAATTTTGAGTGAAAAAATTTGATCGGGCAACGGCATAATGGGAGAAATCAGAGTGATTTCTCGATTTCTTAAACATTTTATAACACTTCGACTTCACATTTTTTAATCTCGTAAGTTCACTTGAGAACCATGGAGGCCTGTCAGATCTCGCTGGGTGATCAAAAGGAACGCAGATATCAAAGAGCGACGGCAGTGTATCATAAAAAAGTTGGATGGCAGGACCTGAATTTTATATTTGGTATCCATTTGGCTTTAAAAATTCAAACA